CAAAGAAACCCTCATACTTGCTGGTGGGAATGTAAAATGGTACAGCCATCTTTGAAGGTAGTTTGTCAGTTTTTTACAAAACAAAACATTCTTACAAAAAGCATCCAGCAGTGATGCCCCTTGATATTTACACAAAAGAGATATGGAATCATGTCCATCCGAAAGCCTGCTCACAGATGTTTAGGGCATCTTTATTTAAAATGGCCTAACTTTGAGAGCAACCAAGATATCCAGAAAGTTCTGGAATATTATTCAGTACACAAAAGTCACAAAAAGATGGGAAGAAACTTGTGTGTATCTATAGGCAGAAGAAGTGGTTTCTGAGGGATTTCCCATTGTGTGACTCCAACTGCATGAAAAACAAAATTGTGGCCATAAGAAAAGTAATAGCTTCTAGTAGTTTAGGGGTGGAGGAGGGGAAGGAGGTATGACTAAACAGGACACAGAGGGGTTTTAGACAAACAAAAAGAAATGCCCGTGATTATAATGGTGAACATGTGTCATCATGCATTAGTCCAAATCCAAGGGACGTACAGCTCCCAGGTTGCACTCTAATGTAAACCACTGTCCTGGGGTAATTATGATATAAATGTAAGTTAATAGAGCACAATAGAAATGCCAGTCTGGAGGGGGACAGTGGCAACAGGAACAGACAGGCATACGTAGGAGGAGGAGGGACACAGAAGATCTTCCTATTTTTCTTTCTACATTTTGCTTCTACCTAAAGCCACTCAAAAAAGTCTTTCAAAAACAACAACAAAAACCTCACAAATCTCTGTGAGTTTGAGTCTAGCCTGGTCTATAGAGAGAGTACAGGATAGCCAGAGCTACACAGAGAAACCTTGCCTTGAAAAAACAAGAACAAAACAAAAACACAAAGAAGGAAAAAAACCAGCACTGTGTCATTGTCCCAACTGCCCCCTCCCATTAAGTGAATCATCTAGAAGATCAGTTTCACCCCCACCTCCTCTCCCTTCCCTTCCAGCTACCCTACTGATGGCACACAGACTTCTCGCTTGTATTCCCTATATCATGCAGAACGACCTACGGCTCAGTAGGCTTTAAATCACATCTCTTTAAAATGTGTCTTTATTTCCCTCTCTTTTCATTTGTTCAAATGAAAATTTCTGAGCGACTAATATTGGTAATATTAATAGATAATATCAACAGAAAAGCCTTCTGTGTTACTAAAGGGCTTAGTCACTAAACTAGATTAATGGAACATTAGAGATTCATTCTGCAAGGGGTAACTCCTCAGAGGGTAGGCTTATGAATTAAGACCCTCTTATGGAACACTTTTCTGAGCCAAGTTGGGACTTGGAAGAAGGAGAGGTGAAAATTCTCTTCTCGCTTCTTCTAGACTCTTTGTGGAGCTCTAGGCGATCTCATAAAAGGCTTGCCGTACAAACAAGCCTCACTGCTGAGGGCTGGGCCAAGAAGAAAAATGGACAGAGACTGCTCTGCGAGACAGTGCATTCTATTGTGTCAGAGGGACAGGCCCAGGGCACCGCCTGTAGCACACAAATGTAACATTGATAAAAAATTCAGCAAGACACACACGTCTTACCAGGATAGAGCCATTCTAAAAGAGTTCTGTTCTGCATGAATTGATATCTTTTTATAACAAGAGTACATGGTCACTACAAATGTGACTTGCTAAAAGACTGGGAGCCTTAGGATCTAAAGCAGTCGTGGCAGTAGAATGTTCACCAGTGGTGGGCATGTTCTATATCTGTACTATCTATGACAGCAGGCAGAAATCATGTGTGACTAGAGGGCACTTGATATGTGATAAGATCAAATAAAGACCCGAGATATAATCTAAACAATTTACACAGTCACACATGGCTAGTGACTGCTACTGGGGCAAAGTTCAGGCCATTATGGGAGGAGGACACAAGCTGTTAGCAAGAGAAAATCCTCTGTCTATGCTGAGAGCCTAGAAAAATACTTTCTCTATGCCTTCTCCACCATAGACACAAAGATGCCATGTAAGATCCACGACACATGACAAAGAACAAGGATTCTCCAGGTGTCACCTTGGGGCCTTGTTAAAGTAGATCACGAGGTCCACTCTGAGATCTGCAGCAGAAAATAACAGGAAACCAGGCAATCCTGATGACTGGCCTGGACACAGAATTTTAGTAGGAGCACTAGAAAAATATCAGCGTTGAACACCTGCCTACTCCTCCCAAGATAAGCATTGCCACCTCTCTTTTCATGCAAGAGCCTCATTCTTTAAGTACTCAACCTCTCTTCCAGGCATTCTTACACACACGCATGCATGTGCACGCGCACGCGAGCGCACACACACACACATACACACACACACACCCCAGAAGCCAAAGGCACCAGACTGTCTACAATGGCCTCCCACACATTAGATCCAAGGTAAAGAGCAGGGGCAAATCTTTCATGAACCATAAACACAGTGCAGAGAACTCAAAAGAAGCCTCGCAGCTTCTATCCATCTGGTCCCTGCAGTGGCCATGTCCTCTAACAGGACTGAGGCTCTTTGCTAAAATAGTGTAGTTTATTTCAGATCAGTTCAGAAGTCTGGCCTCCTTTTACTGTTCCAAGACACAACACTGGAAAATATCAAAGAACATGTATCATATGAAATCATGTTATTTATCATCCCGAGGATGTACACTGAAGAAGCCTGTTTTCAATATCCTATACTCTCTCTCTCAGTCTCTCTCTCAGTCTTTCAGTCTCTCTCTCAGTCTCTCTCTCAGTCTCTCTCTCTCTCAGTCTCTCTCTCTCTCTCTCTCTCTCTCTCTCTCTCATTTTCAAGGCAGGGTTTCTCTGCATACTCTCAAAGGGGAAAAAAAAGGAAAGAAATACAAAAGTTGCCAGTCATGTGGGAGGAAATTTTTATTTTGGTGGTTACCTCTCTCTCTCCTTTGGTCTAACTATACTTGAGTCATTTTAACATTAAGAAATCACCCTGTCAGACGCAATTTCCAAGACTACTCTGGAATGGCCATCTTTTTGCCTCGTGCCCGCTGCTGGTCCTTAACTTTGCCAAGGAAAAGCTTTCATGCAGAATATATTGCTGCAGTGAGCTAGAGCACATCTTCCAATGAACTCGGAGTCTAGAACCGCACATTGCTGCGCATACTGCTAACTTCACCATTCTTTAACTCCCATTGTTCCCCAACTTATTTACATCATGAGGATCAGGAGGGATTCTTGGGCCCTAAGTATCTGTGGGAGACAGTTATCATTTGATCTCTACAGAAACCCTCAACAACCACACAGTACTGTGTACCTTGCTTCCTCAGGCTGAGCTGCTATGGTATACCTATTTTATAGGAAGGAAAAAAGGAATTAGGTAAATTAAAACACAACCCTAGAGAAATTCAGAACAAGATTAAATCAGTGTATTCCTCCAGCTATGGTAATTTTATCTACTAGGAAACGGTTAACAATACCCATAGACCTCTCTGATGGTCTTGATTGCTTGGGGAGATACTGGCATTTAGTGGGCAGAGGCTAAGGGCAAGGGCACACTATCCATCCTACAATGCACAGCAACAGCCCACACAAGACCTCCCTCATTGAAACCAGCACTGCCTAGTGCACTGGAAACTCACCCCACTTTCTTTGGCCCCTTATCAATGGTTAAAGAATGACTGCCTCCACAATTTGACCCTTCTACAACATTTACACAGGAACATGCCGGTCAATTGCTATTTTTTGACGTAAAATACTTCTTAGATACATTTAAAACAGAGGCTACGTGGGAGCCGCAGATAAAAAGGAGAATAGCCCCATGCTAAGCAAAATCCCTTTAGGGACAAAATTTAACAAGGAACACTCCTCTCATGAGCAACCCCTAGGCCCTGGGCTGAGGTCAGTGCCAGCTGGTCACTTGGACTTTTCTATAGATGGCCGGCCTCCCAGCTGCATCTCCCTGCTTCATCCCTAAGCATGCGCGTCACTCGAGAGCAGCAATGAGGCACACTGACGGGAATCTCCAGGGATCTGCAGCCCTTAATCATCTATATTGTTCAGTAAATCGTACTCATTAATGAGCCCCATGAGACACAGATATACAGGCAGTGTCTCCTGGTGCCCTCTGTCTAGGAAGGCCTCATGACATTGACCCCACTGGCTAAAAACAGTCCTCCCTCCAGGTTAAAGCTGAAAAAAAAAAAATCCCGCCACTGCTCCTGTCCCTCTCTAACCATTCCTAGCTCTGCTTGGAATAGTATTAGTTATGCTTTCTTCTTCAAGGCATCTGGCTTTTGTTTGAGTGTGGAAGTTGGAGAGCTTAGAAAAGAAGTCACATTCCTTCCTGGACCCCCACCTAGATCCAGAAGGGCTCACCAAACACTATGTCCTACTAGTCTTGACATTTTTTGTCACACACACAAAAACCCTCCAAACCAGGTTTGGTTACCAAGTCCCCAGTAGTCACATGCACTGTACCAGCAAACACAGACAGCTGCATGGCTGTGTATGCAGCCTTCTGAGATACCAGATGGAAAACTCTGGCATGGGCAGAATGCTGTACTTTAAGCTGCTATGGGCCACCATACCAGGGGCCTCATCTCTGACCAGCTATTTCCTCCATGAACAGAGAGATCATGAAGGGGAAGTTCAGTGAACAATTCATGCAGGAGGAAGCGGGTGGGAAGGAACATCTGGCCACACTATTAGCAATACGATATGGCTTTAGGAAAGAGCAGTCTCAATTCCGCCCTCTGACCTGCTCTTCGGGAAGCCTCAACAAGCCTGCTTGTTCAAATCACACCCCATACAAACTCACTCAACAACCCTCTGTAGAGATATCTCCATGCACAGCCCATCCCTTGGTCATCCTTGGTCACCATTTTTCATATTTGTTGGTTTGAGTCCATGATTGGAATAAGGAAAGTTTTAGAAGCCTTTCAGAGACAGCGCATCCCATTGCACTGACTCCAAGGGGCTGGCGAGACAAGAGCACCTATGATTCAGCAAAGCCAGCAAAACAGGGAATGCATTTGCCTTACCCTGGAGGAGAGGGTGTGGAAGCCTTCAAACGCTCTTACATCCTCGCAACCCATCAGATCCGCTGCTTTTCACCCCACACTCACTTCTGCATGCTGGACCACAGCCAAGCAATCTGCCAAAAGACAAAAATGAATGAATACAAAGGTCCAATTTATCTACAACTCATCTCCAAAGCCATTGTTCAAATGAATTTGTTAAAAATGAACTTCATGCTGAACACATAGACCCTGACCTCTGGAACAGTTCATGGTCAACCCAAGAGGTTCTCTTATACATCCAAGAGAGGTGGAAACTCAAGAGGGAAGGGCTTAATGTAGAAACCAAAATACTCAAGCTTCAGCGAGCCCTGCATCTTTACAGTATAATCTCCAGGGTTCCTCTAAGGGGTTCTCTCCATTCTAGTGAGCAACGGATGGAAAATAGCAGGAAGGATTTCCAAAAACATTTGCACACACAGGCATATGGGTACAAATACACCTCCTAACACTGCCCCCGACCCTGCAAAAAATGGTATGCACGTTTCCGCTTTTGCTCAATTTCTGTTGGCTGCTCCAAGTCACACAGTCAAACCCCATGGACTGGGCAGTGAGGTCTCTTGGGTAAGGTTCACTCCAGTCTAAGGAAGCATTAGGCTTAGAATAGGACTCTCTCGGTTGATGCTATTACAGTGACCTTGACCTACTTACAACTCTGGCTCTCAGTTTCCTCTCCTGGAAAACATCACGCCTCCCTTCCAGGGCCTATCCCAGAAGCCACATGAAAGGAAGCATCACTTCTCAGACTGCCCTGGTGCTTCACGTCATTGGGGCGTCTTGATAAGATGTAGGTTCTGAGTTGAAAGGTGATGGGTAAGGCCTGACATTCTCCAGCTCTAGCATGCCCTAGGGTGGTGATTCTCAGTCCTTCCTCTTGATGCTTCATAGCTGCAACTTTGCTACTGCTATGAACCGTTATGTGAATAACTGATATGCAGGATATCCTCTATGTGACCCTGTGCAAGGGTCATTCCATCCTCCAAAGGATTGTGACCCAGTTTGAGAACTACTGCCCTCGGGGGTCCTGATGCTGCTGCTCAGTGACCACTCTGTGATTAGAAAAGAGATATGAAAATAGAAAATATCTGGCAAGCTTTGTAAACGAAGTAGTTTTCACATATAAGGAAATTTTATGTCAGCATCGTTTCTGATTCTAAATGAATTTTCAACTACCAGCATTATAAAGAGCTACTTAGTCTGGATCTCGGGTACAGTTCTACAGAGTCACACTCTTAGAAGAAGACTATAACTTAAGGGGTTACTGCTCCTTTTCTTTTTTTGAAACAAATTCAGGGAGGTAATGGGTGCCCCCTTTCCCCACCAAATTTCATAACAACTTAGTAGCAGGAATTTGACCTTGGAAGCAACAATTTGACTTTGTTCTCTAGTATATGAATTTGCTCCGTAAACCAAGAAGGAAAAAAATATTTATTCTTCTACTAAAGCAAAAACAAAAATCATGCTACCTCATGGCCAAAAAGGCAGCAGAAGGCGGCATCTACCAGTATGGGCCATTGCAGAATAAAGGGCGAGCAAGATGTCACAGGACACAGAGCCCGAGGTTTTGCGAAGCAATATTCTCCACAACCAAGTTATTTTTCATGTGTCCACAGTGGGAATGGAGCACAAAGTCACGTCTACACAGCTTCTGGGAACAATGAGTTTTATTTCTAATCCATAATAATTCTGAGTAACTCCTATTTAAGCAAGTATTTGGCATTGTAAATAGTTAGGGGAAATACAATAATTAGCCACAGTGAATCTTGGGTACTAACAAAGGTAACTAGTGATGTCTTAGACATTCTGCCATCTAAACTGTTTTACATCTCGAAGACCCTGGGGAACCTAGGAGCTGGGAGTGCAGTTCAGAGTAGACACATGTAGCCAGATGTAGCCACTCATAAATGAAAGGAGTGGGAGTCTAACCCTCACATCACTCTCTCATGGATTGGGAAGGGGTCCATGAGGTCCTGCCCCTCCCTAAGGATTTCTAGGCAGTTGAGGATTGCTAGAGGTGAGGGACTCACGAGGTCCCATCCCTCCATAAGGATCTCCAGGCAGTAGCTGGAACGGGAGAGACCTTTTTTCAGTAGTGTAGCTGTGGGTAAGTTTCTCGTGCTACTGAGATTACACTCTCATTGACGTTCCTTTAAATAACCCTAATTAAACATGTGCACAGCCCACAACCCACAGCCATCACACACAAAACATGGTAAGCATGTGCACACACCCCCCACCCATCACACAGAAAACATGATAAGCATGTGCACGTCCCATCCCCCACCCATCACACACAAAACATGAAACTAGAAGCTAAGGATTAGCTTTGCAGAGCAAAGAGGTTAGATCATCAGGAGCATAAGAGAAACAAGAGATGGCAATAGTGGGGTCAAATATGATCAAAATACATACACATATGAGAATTTTGTAATAAAATCCATTACGCACACTTAATATATGCTAATAAGGACTTAAAAATTCTTCTTGTTATAAATCAGGAAGGCAATGAATATGTGGACTTCAAATTGGATAATGAGGCTGGGTGTCCCTTGTTATGCATGTCACTGCCAATAAAGCAGAATGAACTTGAAAGCATTCTGGTGAAATTAGGAGGGTACCAAGAAGAAACGATAAATGGACACCAATACTTGCACATCCATTATTAAGGTGGGTAAAATGCTTTTCTTAGCCTCTTTGTTTGGGGCGGAATGTTAAAAAAGGTACACTGTCCCTAAACTTTCACAGCTTAATGTCTGCATTCCGTGCCCAGCTTTCCCCTACCACTACGTTAGCTTATCGGTTAGAATTCTACCTTTGGGGCTGGGGAAACGGCTTAGACGATGAAGTGAGTTCAATCCTCTGAAACCAAGCTGGATATGGTGGTGTATATGCACAACAGCACAGTGAAGTGGGGAGGGGGGGGATGGACACACAGAGACCGATCTCTGGGGCTCACTTTCCAGCTAGCCTAGCAAATAACAAAATCTTGGAACTCCAGGCCAATGAGAGATTCTGTCTCAAAAAAAAAAAAAAAAAGGCCTCCACACTCACACACATACCCTGGCCCAGCTCCGTAGACACACACACACACACACACACACACACACACACACACACCTATCACCTATATACCCTGGCCCAGCTCTGTAGACACACACACACACACACACACACACACACACACACACACACATCTATCACCTACATACCCTGGCCCAGCTCCGTAGACACACACACACACACACACACATAAAAACAAAGACATGAAATTACAAAGGCAAATTATACTCTCTTATCCACAAAGACTTAGGGAGACCAGGGACTCAACTTAAGGCCCTCATACTGTACAAAGACTATTCTAGAATGATAAAAGGTTTTCTTACAGAAAATAGTATTGCTAAAAAGTTAAGATAAAGCACCAAAGACGTACAAGAAAAAGTCCAACTCAGGGTCAGCCAAAGAAAAAAGAAAAAGCTAAAAAGAAAAGCCATGGTGAAAGCTACCCATGCTGTGACTTTAATCCCACATCAAGGAATTCCTCAAATAACTTCCCTAGTCAGGCCCTGGAGTCACGGCACTTTCTGTGTCCTGAGCATGGGTTCTTCCGCCTCTGACCCCTAGGACCGGATGGAAGCACCCCAGTACCTGCAGGAGAAGAGCTCTAGCAAGGTGCCCCCTTGTCTTAACTTCAGAACACAAACACACCAGCACTGACATGAACATCGTCTGGAGGCTTCAGAGAGACCTCATGGGAACCACCTCGGCAAAGAGCTTCATACTTGGAAAGATATTTAAGTTGCATTCACTTGACAAACCCAGTAAACACAAGAAAAATAACAGCCAGAAAGACAGATTGATTTATCGCCACAAAATGAGGCAGTGTCAATGATTTGTGACTATTTCTATCTCCTGCCAAAGGGATTTTAGCGTTTGCCACTGATATAGGCGGAGGAACCCAATAAAAAAGCTTATCAGTTCACTTGAAGAGACAGGAATAAACCCAAAACAAACTGAGCTAAAGAGTGTCAGCAGCACAGAGAGAGGTGACCGGGGTGATAACCCCCCAGAGGCAATGTCCTACAGCCTGGGCAGGATCAGAGCGAAAACCCTCCCCTACGCTGTGACTTCTCCATTGCTGGCTAGTGTGCCAACTTCCCTTGCATTTAGTGTGCACAAAACCCACCTCAGAAAGTAGTCTGCAACAAAGAACAAAGTAATTAGTTATTTCAAAACTGGAGGATAGATGAATGAACTCCAGTTAAAAGTATTATTTTTTGTAATGTTCAAGTTTTGAACAGACTTGAAGGTCAAATGTAGCTAAGACCAACTACAAACACCTGTCAGAAAATTTTTTCAAGTCTTAAAAGAAATGGATTTAAATCATTTGACCTACCTTTTGTGGGCAGTCTTGGGATATTGATTTAAAATTATTTTCACGAAAACTCTCCCTGCTACCTTCAGGACATGTATTACTGACTACAGACTGGGTTTAAAAATCACATGTACACTTCATAGAGTCATCCTTGTGTGGAGACTAGCTCTGCATGCAAAAAATTAGAAATGAAGTCTTGGAATGAACATCAACTCATAACCTCAACGTCATGTCTGTTTAACCAGCAGGGTGTATGCCAAGTGCTCTTAAACGTATCTTAAACTTATACTACCCTGCTTGTCCATTTACAGCCCCAGAATCAGAGCGCGCGCGCGCGCGCGCACACACACACACACACACACACACACACACACACGAGAGAGAGAGAGAGAGAGAGAAAGAAATCCTCACCCCACCCCATTATTCCCATATTATATAAACACTTAAGTGTTCAGAACTTCATTATGATTGGGATTATTTTAACCTGGGAGCTAACAGCCTATCCAAAATCTACACAAAATCTCCGCGGCTGCTGGACGAATCATGTTCTTCATAAATTCCCAGAGGCAAGAGCGCCATCTACTGGTAGCCAGGGCACAACTTGCTTGAGGGAAACCTGTAGGTGACATGAGCCAAGGACTGGAAAGACAGGCATCCTAGACTGGTGTCTCAGTGGGGCTCTTTTCTACAGCACATTACAGGGATAACTGTCACAGACTGAGAACCACAGCCTCACCAGGAACTTCTGTTACATGATCCAGAGGTCCTCTGGAAGTCATACAAAGGCCAGCCAGGCTAGATGATAACGCAAACATCGCAGCAGAGCCTGGTTGAATTCAAACATTCCAGGCTCTCCTTTGCCCCAGCGGATGAGCCCACCCAGCCCCCCATGGAAGCCAACTTTACCCTACAGTGCACACCCTAAGGAACTCTCCCAGGCACCCGCGAGGGTGAAGGCTCTCTATTTACACAATGTGACACAGATCCTTCTCAAAGAGCGTGACTGCTTAGGCATGCAGGTTTGACTATAATCTATCTCCTTAGTTCTTCATCCTCCTTGTCTGTGACCCAGCGGACAGAGGTAACAGAAGGAAAATGATTTTGTGGCTATCTTGAAAGCAGAACCAGGGGCTTTTATTGAATTGGAGGACAAAGACCCTGTAGGTCAGAGAGGTGCCCCGGGTCCCTCAGGTTGAACCATGCTTGTCAATGTTTCTGTTGGCTCTTTAGACCCTAACCAGAGTTTTTTTTCTGCCTCCTTGACACAGCTGATTCCACTTCCACCTGATAAACAACCAACCATGACCTCTGAGTATCTTAGCCACTGAGCCATTTCTCCAGCTCTTCTGTGTATCTTATATGGAAAAAAAAGTCATTCTTCCCTCTAAAAAACAAACATGAATGCTTTTCACAAACCATGCCACCACCGTCACCCTCAGCATTCCTTTTCCTTCCCCACGGCACATCAGCTTCTATTTTTTAAGTTATTCCCACGAATTCGCCATGTTTCAGACTATTAGCCAAGAACCATCATTGCACTCTACAAGGGTCAGCTGTGCCTGGCAGCTGAATCTCTTATTTTCATCTTCGGAAACCACCAGAAGTTTACTTGGTGCAGTCAAAAACCCTGCATTTGATTTCTCTAGTCTAGCAAATAAAAGAGGAGCCTTCTCAAAAAAAGAAAAATGTTTAACTTGTTCAGTAAATTGAAATTTCAGTAAGTAAATTAATTGAATCTTGTGGAATTCAGTAAATTAAATGAGTATTTGCTGACACAAGGTATGGTCGTTTTTAGCTGTCTAACAGAAAACAACTTCAGTGGGGAAGGAAGGGGTTTACAGCGGTATCAGACCGTCTCCAGAGAGGCAGGTAAGTTCTGAATGGTTCCCGAGTAACACAGCAAGTTCTGAAAGGGTTACTCGGAAACTCGGGAGCCCAGGAAAATCTTCCTGGTAATTAGTTGAACCATTTTCACATCACCAGGTGCATCAAACTAGTTCACCAGTGGGAAACTCAAGGGATCTTTTAAGTTTAACCATAAGATGTCCTGCCTGTCGTTGCTGCTATGTCTGGAGACATGCTGACGCCTTAACCACCACGTTTAAGCTCCTAGACACGCCCTCTCTCTTCCAAAGAAGGATTCAGCAGAGAATCCACCCCCCCCCCATATCTCTTCTGGTAGCTAAATGATTTTTTTTTAAGCATACACTTTTTCAAGGAATTAGAAAGTGTACCTTAGACCCTACCCACTTCACCCTTCCTATACTGTCCTCCCGACAAGCTGAAATAAGTACCCTCTTGAACAGCCCTAGAAAGTCACAGAACCCACCCCCACTTCTTGGATCTTCTTGAAGAAGCCTCTAAGTGCGCTGTTTGGTCTGCAGTTCACTGCAGGCAATTCCCTCACCATTTCCCAGCCATCAGTTACAGTCTCTAGAAACCCTTTTTTTGTGTGTGACCTGCTCTATCCAATTGCTTTAAAGAAAAAAGAAAAAGAAAAAGAAGCTTTTTAACGCATCTCCAGATTCTTTCCACAGGCTCCGCGCGTTGGGTTTTGGTGAAAGTCTGGGGGAGGGCAGATGCGAGGTCCAGCGGACAGACAGGGCAGCTTTCCCAGGGCACCCTTCCTGGGGCAGCACGGGCTCGGTCCCTCGCGATGCCCGCGCCCGCATTAAAGGCAGAAAGATCATCAGATGCGCTAGGAATTTCGCTTCGCTCGCAGCCGCCGGATTAGTTCGAGTCTCAAGGGCTCGAACCAAAGTGACACTACGTTTTCCCCATTTCGTTCTCCCACGCGACAGGTCCCCGCTGCATTGAAGCCACCTTCTTCCCAGCCCGGGTCCAGCTCCTGTGGCATCCCCGCGGCGTCTCCCGCGCCCTTCCCCTGAGAAGGGGACCGGTGGCAGCGTCCCTCCGGGGCGGGAAACAAAGGCGGAGGCAAGGTGGCCAGGTGGGCAAGCCTCCTCCGGTACAGCCGCGGGGAGGATGGAGAAATGTACCGGAGGGTGGGAAAAGGGAAACCGAGGCACCAAGGCTGGCGAATGTATTTGCCCTGCATCCTCCCCAATGCAAGGCTCCCGGGGCTGGCGAATCCCCGAGCCATCCCCCGCCGCCACCTAGGACCCGCCATCCGAGGGACTGTCCCGCTCCGCTCACCTCCGGAGAAGCGCTCCCGCTCCCTCCGACGGCTCCGGAGAAAGCCCCACCGCTCGCGCACGCGCACTCGCGCTCTCGCGCCTTCGCCCCTCCGGCCCCCGCGGGCGCCCCTCCGACCGGGCTCTGGCCCGCCCCGGCCCTGTCCGTCAGCGTCCGCAAGAACCAATCCTGTTGCGTGGAAGGCCCAGCACTGGTCACGTGGCCGCACAAGCCAATCACCAAATTGCCCTCGGCAAGCGCCTGGCTCCGATGTCCCCGGGGGTTCGGTTGCTACCGAGCAGAGCGGGTGCGAAGCGGGCACAAAGGGCTGAGTCCCTTATTTCCGCGGATGAGTGGCGTCCAGTTGATCAATGCCTACATCGATTGATTTCTCAGATCCCAGTTTAAATAAGAATCACCTGGGAGTCTTGTTAAAGTCTGGGGTGGAGTCTCGAGAGCTTGCATTTCTAACAAGCCCCCAAGTGGTGAGGAAGCTTCTCTTGGTCCAAGGCCATGCTTTTAAGGAGCACTGTCAAAACACCCCTGCTCGATTTGTTGACACGTTTCAGGACCTTTCTTGTCCTTCAGTGATGAAGAGCATCCAGAGGACTGCCTCAACATGGGGTGATCTGATGAGGCCTCTGGCTTGGGCAGCTGAGGAAAGGCTATGGAGTGGCCAGGTGGACCAACTTCGTGTATATGGAACAGACAAGCAGAGACAGATGAGTCCACTAGCTCTACCTCTGCAGTAAAGAGCTGGGTCAATGTGGCTTGAAACTTGATCAGATGAGAGAGGAACCATGTAAGTGGTCCCAGCCTTGTGGAATCTCAACAGCCGGTCTTAGGACTCCACAGGCAAACTCAGAAACACCTTTTAAAGGGAGGGAAATAGAACTAACGCTCTGGGCAATTCAGGCATAAACCACGGAGCTTAGATTGTCATTTCCCTTGAGGGTTTTAAAAGTTACCCAAATACCCCTGTGTCCCCCTGTCAAATATCCAATGCCTCTGCTATCTCAGGTTTGACGTGAGTGTTTTCAGACTGGACAGTTAGCATATTTGTCATCCAGCATTGCCAATCCAATAATGTCTCAAGGCAGTTAGAGAGTTCTCCCTCCCTCTCCCTCCCCCATGTAGTCTAGAGTGACCTGGAATTTATGATCCTTTCTGAGCCCCAAGTGCTGGGATTATGGGTATGCTTCACCATGCCCAGCTCTCAAAAGTCTTTCATATTAAGCTTTCCAAATCCGCTTTCTACCAGCCCTTCTGGCCAAGAGATAGGAATACGTGCCAAGTAGTTTTATTCTTCTCTTCATAGAGGTGATCAAGCTGATACTTTGAGAAACCCTCGCCTTTGTCTATATGTCTGATGTGTCCGTCTGGCATCTCAGTCAAAAGTGAGGCTCACTTTGTCTCAGGCATGATTCACTATACTGCTCCTATCAGAGGTGGCTTAGCCCCAAATTCAGATTTTCAGGGTGCCTGAGGCTACCACAATGGTCCCATGGTCCTGGACAATAGGAATAGGAAGATGCCAAAGTCGAAAGGCCTCAGAGATTCTGCTTCTGTCATGAAATCAGTGTTCTCAAGCCTGACTTGCATGTTGCAGTTTTTCAAAAAGCAAGTTGTGAGAGCCTGGCCCTGGAGCATCTACCCAGAATGCTGCACATTTCCCAAGCTCCACAGTTGATATGATTCATACCCAATGGCTGATGAGAATACCTGTATAAACTGCTGCACCAATGACAGAGTTTAACGTCTGGTTTTGTGTTTTGAGACAGTGTGTCTCATGCAGTCCAGTCTGGCCTCCAACTTTCTAATGTAGCTGAGGATGACCTTGAACTCCTGAATCTCCTGCCTCTACCTTTTAAGTGGAGGTATTATAGGCCTGAGCCACCAAATCCCATCTTAGGCTTAGTTTTTAAGCAAGGAAAAAAAGTATCAACCCAGGAACATAAATCATTAATGACACCAGCATGCTGTAAACAGAAGGAGGTCTCCACATAATTTGTGGAAATAGATTTTCAAAGGCCAAAAATAACTCATAGGTAATAAATACTACCAAGGCTATTCGCCGGTACAAATCGAGATGCCAGGTCTACAACTGGGATCGATTCCGGTGGGCTGACTACATGTTCCAGAAAGAACCTATTGCCTCTGTTACCCACACCAAGTTGGTTGGCTCTCTGGTGATAAGGTCACCTGTTTGATGCTCTTAGGTGACACACGTTTCTAGTTGGGATTTAAGGAGAGTTTAGTCTCCGCGGCTTTCCCCAAAGCCTTCAGCAAGTACCGTCTGGGATAGATGCTGAATCGCAGACTCCTAGGGCCCAGGAAGAACTTCCTCCAGTTTATGTACAAATTCTGAAGTCAGTAGTGGTTAAATTTAAGTCAGGGCTGTACCTCCAGATATGGATCAACAGCGGACAAGCAAACCCCAAGCCAACAGCTGTGCTATTCATTTAGCCTGCTGTACTAGCTAAATAAGGGAGTGGAGACTTTTATAAAGAATTCGCAATTCTCGTCACTGGGGTTTTACCAAATTCTGTTACTTTGTGTAGTAAGGTGACTAGATCCAGAGTGTTTGAGCGTGGTTGTCACCCAGTTTATCTGTGGGATGGTATTTTCCACAGTGGGGTATGACCCAGTTTTCAGATGAATCAGAGGTCCCCTCAGAACACTCAACAGCCATCTTGCTGGTAACTGACTTCATGTGTAGTCCCAGAAACACAGAAGCCCCATGTGTGAGCCTGAAAGCTAGGTCCCTCCTCTGACACCTTAAAAATATGTTTCACAGCAACCAAGTGGGGGAGAATTTTTCTCACCCTTGTAAACTTGTAACTTTATCTATTGGGGGAAAATAAGGACAGTTTTTAACAGATATTTAACGAGCACGACTGATGTCAACTTTTAACGATAGAGAAGCATTTCTTTTTCTCCCCGTGGGTGTCCTCATTACAGAAGGAGGTGCAAGAAGCAAAGGAATCCTTGCCTGTGGATGCGAAGCTAAGAAAAGAAAAACATGCACGCTGCCAGGCACTTTCCATTCCTCAGTCAGCTTGCTTCCGAGACACAACCCAGCTCTCCTGTCCCTGGAAATGGGTGTGTTAGTATCCGATAGGGGTCAGCTCAGGCAAGGTTCCCTAACCCGGAAATTGCTCAGTAAGAGATTTACGTATATTGGAAAAGAAGAGATAAAATATAAACCACCCCACCCCACTGCCAACTCCCAGAAATCCACAGTTGCTTTATTATAATCAGAACTCCACTAATGTTTTATCAGCACTAATTGCATTTTTATCTCATAATAAATAGCTTTTCCAAACTTAATTGACTTCATTCATGAAGACCCACAGATTAGGCAAGAGTCTGGTTTCCATCTGTTATATGAATCCAGCCAGGATAATAGGTTTTATCTATGTATCCATGTTTTAATGACTGGTACTTCTTTCCATTTAGTGTGACTGTGTACATATCTAATGCAAGATATTTTTGTAGAAAGGTTGATTTTTTTTAAAAAAATATATATTTATAAAACTTAAAGAAAAGCAACATCCTGGTCTGTTTTACAAAATACTTTGACATTAAACACAATTAAATACTGCATGCTCTTCTATACTTGCTCCAACATAAGAAACATTATAAATATCATCAGGGCCTCATGTGACCTTCCCAACAACAGGACCATTAGATAGAGACTGCACACTGTCCTGCTAGGCATGAAAAGCAGGGGTGGTTAATGCAAGGAAATAGCAGATTGTATGTATGTAAGATACAACATAAGTAGGCAAAATTTTTACTGAATAAAATGCTTAGAAGTCCCAAGCTGATATAAAAGAAAAATAAAGCTAAGATCTCATGTGACACAGTGCCTGTGTTTTACAATGACATATGTGAACCCAGAAAACAGGTCCCTTTGAGAAAACAACGCAGGTAATTTGGTGTACACATGAGGCAGAGCCCCTGGTCTCAATCATTTAGCAAACGGATGCTACGTGAGTGTTTCCTTTGAGGTCATCTTAAAAGACATAAGCTGTTGAAACGGTGTGTGCCACAGGCAAGTATCAAGTGAAGAGCGCCGACTCTGGATGACAGAACCCGAGAAGGCTTCCTGCCAAAAGTGAGGCCTATATTGAATTCCAAAGAATTCAAAATAGTTGGCCTACTATTATGGACTGAATGTCCAACCACCCCTAAAAAGTCATGTTCTGAAACTCCACATCCTGTCGCAGTGTGGTGTTATCAGAAGTCAAGGTCTGTGGGAGATCATTCGGATGTTGCAAAAGTGGACTTTTCAACAAGTGAACGGGGTAATTTACTAAAATTGTAATTGTTTCGTAATTCGGGGTCCTTTCAAAGTCACAGAGACTTACCTGCACTGTGCTACATAAAACTACACATGAGCAAGGCAGTCTATAATCCAGAAGGGGGCACTAGACCCAGCATGCTGGGGTCTGCCCTTCAATTTCTAGACCTTTGAGAAAAAAAGAAATCTGAAGTTTCTAAGCCACCCAGGGTGTAGCACTTAATGATAGGATCCTGAATGAACTGAGGCGCAGAGTGGGACAGGGTGGGGGAGTGCCCCATAAAAACACAAGGCAAGAACCCTCTGGGGGGTGAAAGCAGGTGAAATCAATTAGGTATGTGATGAGGGGATAAAACCAACAATTTGGAGATGGGTAAAGAATGGAGCTTGTGGTTAAGATGTGTATCACTGGCCACTCCCCCATCTTCCTGTCCGTGCTTAATCAGTCAAGGCTTTGAACTCTGCTGTGTTGATTCAGGGTGGAGTGTGGACCTGTATTGTCTGGTTAAATCCCCAGCTCCTCCACACACCTGCTTGGCAAACCAGGACAGCTTACATTTAGACAGGACTGGAATGGCGGTACTGGAAGGCAAGTACTCGACACCTAAAGTTATTAATTAATCATAAATAATGCAAAGTGATAGAGTGGCATTAAACAAATGTCAGCTATTATCAAGGGTCTTCTCCCTTGATATGACCTCAGACACCTCAATTCAATATGACTGGCATTCCACTTCGACCAATCAGAATTGTAATTCCCTAGACCTACCTTGCCACCCTTGGCACCCAACACAGCACTGGTTG